TAAAGGTAGACCTTTTGTAGCAAGAGGAGGGGAGTGATTAACTTTGCAGTCTAGGAGCGGCGGTCCCTGAGACCATCAAAGGAGAAGAACAGAGAGCGGGACCCTATCCAGAGAAGCAGTGACGCCAGAGATGGAGGCAGAGAGGATGATGTGGAGAGATGGAGCGGCTGGGGACTTTAAACCCAGAGAGGGAGAGGGGCTGTGTGCTGATGATGGGGGTGGGGATTGGGGGGGCAGGCTTGCAGGGTATACCCTTTGGTTGGTTGATGATACATGGAGGGGACTCTAACCATGGAAATGAAATGCTATACAATAGGATGAATGTAAAACTAATGTTCTCCCATGTAAATATCACATAATTCACAATAAAACATTAAAAAAATTAAGGTTCCATCCTTAAAAAAAAAAAAAAGATATACTTTATTAAAGTTTTCAGACTATTTCTGTTATTGTTTCACTAAGAACCATATCAGATTAATGATTTGTACTGAATTTTTAGTCAACTAAAAATTCTTATTTGTATAATATTTGGACAGTTAATTTTTAAAGACTGTACAGACAGTTTAAAAAATACATCTTTGTTAAATTTAATTTTTTCAGTGCCAGTCTATTTTCTAGTCTGTTGAAATATTTTTGAACTAGATTATTTACTATCCACTATTGAAATTAATTAGCTTTTAGTCTGTAATTTTGTTCATCATAGTCCCTGTCCATTAATACCACTGGGAAAAAAAATTGACAACTGCAGTGTTTAGGACATCCCTTCTCAAGACAGACTTTCTTCCAACCTGACAATGATGAAACACGTAATACTCTTGTATACAATTATTATACAACCAAATTCTCACTCAGTTCATATTTCTCCACTTAGAGAGATATCATGAATGTGTTTATCAAATGACTTCTAGAAATCACAATAAATTATGCCTGTGGCACTGAATTGAGCTATAGATTAAATAATCACCTCAGCAAGGAAAATAAGGTGACTTTGAGGTCATTTTTTTCTGTATTTTCTGACAGTAAGGGGTGTTAGCTCCTGTTACTTATTGCTGATTCTATCTTCAATTGCACATAAGCTTTTGATTTGTATTAAGTCATTGTGGGATTTTACTGAATTTGCTTTTCAAGACCATTGAGCTATAGTTTACTGGATCTACTTAGTTTTCTTTTATGAAAATTGTACCCAAACATTTACA